GTAGGACAGCCCACTTTAGATGAGCCCCTTCATTTACAGGGAAACAATAAATGGCTTGGAAATGGCACAGAAAGACACATTACCATGATGGCAGCAACAATGCCCCTAGAATCTCACTGCCATATCTGTTGTTCTTACTAGACAGTTTCTAAAAACTATCTTACAGAATCTAAACAGATGTTAAAAGACATTCAAACCAAACCAAACCAAACCAAACAAACAATCTCATGGGCTCTTCTAAGCCTGTAATAGTCAAGCCAGAATTTGGAGGAAGTACAATACTAGCTTCTTGTAACTGGAGTACTTGGTGCTTTTGACTGTAACCAACATACTTACCTGAAAATCTGCCTAAACAGAAAGAAAGAAAGAAAAAAGAAAAAAAGAAATCTCAATCCAATATACTATCTCCAGCAAAGCCCTGTATCAATCCTTCCTTACTAAAACTACTGTTTTGATTTGTACCTCATGACTTCTCCTAAATTAAACACTACACCAGCAGCATAAGAGCTGTTTTTAGTAGCAGGCTCAGTGCCCAAGTTTGCCCTTTTTTCTAGCTAAATGTTGTCAGTTTTGTTCAGAACAGGCACAGGATTGTTTTCAAATAGGGTGGGAGATGTATGCCAGAGAAGAACTACTTAGAGGAGAAAGGACTATTCTACTTACCAGTGTTTCTGTTGCTTTCATTACTGTATTCTTCCAAAAATCCTTGTCATTGTTGCTGACTTTGCATAGTGTAGGGCACTGACAGTAGTTTTGTAAATCTGTGCCCATTTCTTCTTCTTGTTCCCCATTGTCCTGTTCTTCACTAAGGCCTTGGGAGTTTCTTGTTTACAGTTCACAGAAAGAGAGTACTACAGTAACACTTCTATCGGAGACTCGATCAAGGTCTTCATAGAAAGAGAAAAGTATCATTTCCACATATCTTGTTTGGGGATGTCAAGCAGCAGTAGGCTTGCTTTCTCAGCACTGCTTGACAACCCTCTTATAGCTATTTTATCACTGAACCTCTTCAGTATCTTCAGACAACTCTTGTTCTACTGTTGCTTATGGCTGGATTTATACTGTTTCTCCTCCCCTAGATGAGGGGGTCCACTGTTTGTCCTTCCCAGGAGAACATGGCTTTGAAACATCCATCTCTGAAGAAAGCCACAATCCAAATACACGTACATGGACTGGCAGAAACTAACACCTTTTCAACAAACTTCCCTGACAGCTTAATTTTAGAATATGAAATTGTGTTTGCAGATCACTGCTAATCCTTGTGAGATGCTGCATCCACAAGTGAGAGGAGCAATGAGGTGTCCATATTATTCAACTAATGAAATGGCCCATGTACGCGGTACTTCTTTGCAAACAAGTCTTGAACTCTTACAACCTTGGCTTACAATCAACATGTGCACGAGTGCACGCAAACCTGAGCTAGCAAAAACCAAGATTTGCAAACAACGTTCTAGTTTAGAATAGGCTAAAACCTCTGAGCAAAACTCCAGTTAGGCTTGCTTAGCAAACAACTGAAATTCTGCTCTCTACATGGAAAGATACATTCTAGCACCATCAGCTCTAAAGACTGTGTTAAGCCTTAGCTACTTCTTCCTACCACAAGCTCTTGACAAAATACAATTTACGCAAAAACATAAGTACCTTTGCCCTGTCTGAACTAAGAGCAAGCACTGTATGATCCAAATACTATGATTCTGTACAGATAAAGCCAACATCCCCCAAAGAACAGCATACTAACACCATTTATCTCAGCAGTAGTAGCTTCTCTTCAGAGCACAACTTAAATCAACAACAGAGGTCACTTTAAATAACTGTTTTACAAGAACATTTATTTTACCTGAATCAGGTTAATATAGCAAGATTGACTCTAATGAAAGGGTCAGGTGCCTCCACAGAGAACTGAAAACCATGAACAGAAACCATAACATTCTTTCATAAGAAATACTTTTGGAAAATGTAATGATTTTATCAGCTGTGTTAACACTTACCAAGTATAGGGTTATACAAGCTGGTCTCCTTACAGATGTTTGGGAAAATAGAAGGTAAGTAGTATTTCTTAAAATTTGAGAATAAAAATGAAAATCCCTTTTCCTGGTTTTCCTTGTTCTTCCATTCTAAACTCTTAACCTTAAAAAAAGAAGTTAGATAAAGTAAACATCTAGAAGACAGAGATGACTGATGAAACGTCTTCTAAGCTATTTCTGTGGAACAAAATCACATCCATTTTAATCAACACTTTTAGAAAAAGAAGCAACAGAAACTAGCTAGGAAATGTCAAAGAAACAAAGACTGTTCTCTTCCAAAATGTTGCTTCAAAATGAACTTGAACACATCAAATACCAATAGAAATACGTCTGCTTTTATGGTCATCTTGCCAAGTCAGGGAGTAAACCCAAACTGATTGTTTTTAGTAAAACTAGTTTTATATTTCAAAATGTTTTATAAGAAAAGGACAACTATCCATGCTACTTTGAACATTTGTTTTGACAGTTTCTTTTAACACATTTAGAGTAACAAGTGTCCATATATTCATCATAATAGGTACTTGGATTCATTTGTGCAGTTGGCAATATGAAACAAATCTGTTAACAACAAGGAGCAGAAGATACAACTTTAAAGTTGAATTACACAAATCTACTTTCATTGATCATGAGTGCTAAGTCTTCCCCATTATGAAATGTTTTCCTACCAAAATACATAAGTTCTCCATAATAACAAACCCAACATGCAGTTTCCATGTCTGTCCTGGAGAATCCACCTGCCTGCAGAGCTGGGCAACCTGCCAAGTCTACCACAAACAAAATCGAGGAAGCTTTGCCTTTTCCTCCCCCCTCCCTTTTTTTTTTTCTTCCCTCCCCCCCCCTTCCTTATTCAAAGCCCACAGTTCTATTATGATCTATTTTCAGGGCAATGGGCCTTTAGTATGGAATATACATACGTATATAATTCATTCCCAATATAATTCAATAGAATGGGTGACTAATATGTAGAAATTAGTGACACAAAGTCCTTTAGCAGATCTTAATATCGAAGAAGTAACTATTCAGCTTGAAATTATCAGTGCCTCTAAAGCTTCAGCAAAAGACTTTAGCATTCACATAGTGAACAAATTCTGACAGCTGTCTCAATGACTTATCTAAATTTAAATATAATACTACCAATTTATTAGAGAGGGCAGTTGTCTTCAGTAATGTAAGGGGTATTTTTATTCAAAGTGAACAGTCATCATTAAGCTTACCCTACAAATCACAAGTAAGATGACCTCTATTCAAACTGGGAGATACTGGAAGCAACAAAAAGAGGTTGCAAATTATCCCAGCACTGCAAGTTCACAGTAAGATAGATAAAGGGAAGCCATGAAATGTTTCATTTTAACATTGGCCATATTTGTGCACTGTCCATCTTTTCTAGCACACCCTGCAAAAGTCTGAAGAAAAACTTATGGCTAGATACCCAACTGGGTTCTGCTGGACAAGTCTGACCCAGAAGGCAGTACCCTGGAATACCTACAGTATGTCATGCACTCAAGCAGTTTGCTGGGCATATGACAGCAGAGCAGGCTCCAAAGCAGCATGTGCTAACTGGCCAGCAAATCAATTACAGAAAATACAATAGCTAGGCCACAGTTTTTGATAGGAGCTCTTCCCATACCCTGTCCTAGGCATTTCAAGTACTGGCTGAGATCATGGAAATGTCAAAGTACAAAGGGAAGGACACAGTGTGCACTTGAGTTGCACACCGTGGACTAGATACTCATTCAAGTCTTCATTTTCTATGCACAGTTCAGCTCCACAATCTCCCTTTTAAGGTACCTTGGGATCTGCAAGATCTTATTACCTGGAGTTCACACAGCAACACCACTGAGTGTAATCTCAGCAGTGCAGCTACTTTCAAGGAGAATCTAACTAATAAGCTTTGTCAGATCTGAAGTATTCTGAATACATACTGTTTCCCATTGCTTCTCTTTTGAAGAGGTTCACTTGCTCAGCTGTAGCAGTAAACCCAAATTTTCTCTGTGCAGTGTACTGTACTATGCCTGAGCTTACAAGTCTCCTAAAATTAAAGTCCTAGAAAGTACAGTTAAGATACCAACAGGAGTCACGGCACTTTCCCTGCAAGATCTGGATAGTAAACATCTTGTTGAGCAGAAAAAAAAAAAAAAGAAAAAAAGAAAAAAAAGGGGAAAAAAAAGGGAAACACACACCAAACAAAAAAACCCCCCAAGCTCTTGCTAGAAAGCCATAATCTCCATGTCACACTGTAAACACCCTGAAGCATTTCCACTAACCAGGAGTAGCTCAGTGCATTTCTACTAATGAATGGACGGGCTGTATGGTTAATCTACTGCAACAGCAGAAGTTCCAGAAAGATAGCTGGAAGAAAAGTATGACCCTACGTGCAGACACTGGCAGTCCCAGTCTTACAAAACCTTCAGCCTGACATCCTATTTCTGTTTGCTTTTGCCAGCTAGCCCAAGTATAAACCTAGGAAAAAGGTCAGCAAAAGTTTGGGACTCGTTAAAAGCTCGTATCACAAAAATCCAATGCCTTCAGTTCGAAGTTTCCTCTCAGTCTGAAAAGCAAAGTCCCTGACCACCACAAAACCCACATCATAAGAGAGAGCCCAGTTGATCCTTCTGCTGCTTGAATGCAACAGAGTGGGGAGAAGGAGGTGAATATGGGATGGGAGCTGGAGTCAGCACTGCTGAAAATGACTGACAAGTCTTGTTTTTTCTCCATGCTGCAATCTGATGCAAGACCCCGTGGTAACAGACCTATGAATTTTCACACAGAAGACAAGTGAAAATTTTCTAGGAGAATTTGCTCTTTATAAAGGACGCCTGAGGGAGGGGCAAGGGGGAGGAATCTTTAAAACATTTTCATATACATTTGCAGTGTTACTAGTAAATGTCTTCTTGTAATGGACAAACAGGTGTTCATTGATTCATATTTGTTTGCTTGAAAACTACAGAACGTACCTGAATTACTATGTATTTCAAAAGTGCTTCTAAGAAATAGCTCGTTAAATCTTCTTGTCCTTTATCCCCTGATTGTGGAGGAACAAGTGGAGTGATTTCCTCTATAGTCACTTGAGCTATTTAAAATAAAGAAACAAAGAAGTACATCTCATATTTAGACCACTTCTCATGCATAAATACCTACTAAGTTATGAAAGTAGAAATGTACTGGGGTAAGCAGAGACAGTTACAGGCAAAACAAACCACCCGTACATTAATGAAAATTAGGAAGTTTTAGCTAATAAATCACCATAGAACTAATTTCTTACAAATATAAAACCAGCAGATAAATAAGTTCTCCCTGCTTGCCAAGACCAAATTTTTCCAAGAGGTGTAATCCATTTCTTTTGGAATTTATGCAAACAATAGTGTAACATTTGTATTGCACAAATGCCAAATCTTTATTTGCATCTCTCACAATTTTCTTCATTTAGCAGTTGATCCATTACATTTGTGATAAGTTTTACTAGCTCTATCCTTCCTTTGCCTCTACAGTGAAGCTATTCAGAGTTTATTTTTCTCTTGTTCCTGTAGATGTTCGCATTTCACTCTTTGCGCTCTGCATTTCTATGCTGCCTACATCCCCTTTAGATTTGTTCCTCCTTTCCTGCTGTAGAGACAGAACACAAGATAACTCCAAAACAGGGCATAAAGTATATAGCAAACTTTTTTCTGCAGAGCTACCCTGCCATAAAATTCACCTGCTAAGTTTCAGTAAATTTAATTACCAGTCAAGGAGACACTGCTTGCTTCTACAAGCAATACTTGTGTCAGCTCTACAACATTGGGTGGAGGTGGAAAAAAGGCAACGGCACTTAACGTTCAGAGGAAAAAGTGGTTAGCTTCTTATTCACATTTACGTGAATGCACAGTTTGCCCTTATGACTCCATCCAATTGCAATTCATTAATAAATGAGCTTCAAATCCTACTAACAGGAATAAATTGAGTTAAGAGGCAAGAGGCTCCCCAAAGTAACCAGTATCTGATACTTAGTGCTAGAGTGAGCAAAGGAAAAATGGTCATAATATTAATCTAAAGAGAAAAGTGTCGCTCTATTGATTAAAGATAATGATCTTCACATTAAAAAAAAAAATCTAGAAAGTATAAAAAGCTTATCTCAGAATGCTCAAGCTTTTCCAGTGATGGAGACCTTTTTGACCTCAGGTTTCACAATTTACAAGGTCCAATTCTTTTGGAAGATTCTGAGCCACGGGAGTACCACAGCTTTAATTGTCTGGTCACAGACACAGTAGTAAGATCAACCATTTGGCTTTACATGCTGCCCTAACAATCTCTCATTCTCTTGAAGGCCATACCAGAAACTGCTTTGCATAGCTTGGTCTCTAGAGTATGGCCAGAGTCAGTGCAAATGTTCAACACAAGTGGAATCCACCTGTGCAAGTTTGCAGTAGATGCAGCATCTGCTTGCAATTCTTAAGAAGAACTACATAAAATTGGTCAGTTTATTTTCACCCGCTACATGTTAAGCTACTATAGCCAACTTAAAAAAAAAAACAAACACAAAACCAAAAAACAAACCACACCACAAAACCAAAAAAACCCTGAACAACAACAACAAAGACCAAGTTACTATTGGAAGAAGACCTGACAGGCTGCCAAGAAACTCATTAACAGCTCCATAATTTCCCTGGGAACATATGTATGTTGGTTCTTTGCTACTTCAACTTGCCTTTGCTGTGCTGAGAATTGAATTAGGTAGAGAATTGAGTAATATTACCAAATTACTTACTTTCTTGAACATTAAGTGGAGGGTTAATGAGATTATCTAGTGTTCGGGGGCCATATTCAGACTGTGGCGATGAAAATCCAGGAATCAAGCAAGAAAACATCCATAATTGTTCTTTACTACAGTTATTTTGAAGTGCTTGCAGCCACAAAAGAAAGAGACGCACACCCTCTCGCCGTATCTTAAAGGAAAAAAAGATGGAACAAATTAACTTGTCCCAGAACATACAAAAGCATTTCCATTTGTCCTGGAAGGAGAAGTAGTAGAGTGGTAGAAAAGATAAGAATAGACAGACAGCACGACCACCGGTTATTAGCAGCGCCAAGCTATTTTTCTGCTGAAATGCAAGGACAACCCTGGCACCTTCACTGCTCTTTTCCTCACGGAATCTCCTTCACAGGATTTTCTCTGAAGGAAGAGGAAGAAAACACGTCTAGTCACTTGTTTGACTACAGCACTGCAAGATGCCATGTAAATTTTTCAGAAAATAAAAGATCGACCTAACATTTCGAAATATGTTTGTGAATTATAACAACAGAGTGAGCTTTTTGTGGCAGAAGGAGCTGTTCTACCCTCTTCCATTTCCTCTTCGAGAAAGGTGATGGAGTCCTAGAGCAGTCCCCTCCTGACTGTTAAACTGGAGAATTTCAGCACCAGCGAAGCCTGCAGGTGGTTTACAGAGGAGTGGCACGGTTGTTTGCTGCAGTACCAAAAATACACATTACACTTGGGTGGCTTTTGTCCCATGGTAAACCATTATTATACTACCCACCAATAGGTTTCTTTGGCATAGATAATCTTCCACTTCCAAGACAGCCTGAACCCCAAAACCACAGCCTGAGCCACAAAACCAGCTTCCTTGCCCCTAACAATGAAGGTTAAGGCTTACTTCTGCTTTAACGTAAAATTCTTCAAACCATTTGCACACATTCTTAACTTGGCTACACTATATAAGCACATTACTACTGCAAGTAGTTCTACCAAGGTAAAGCTGATGATTTGAAGTCATTCTTTCATGACACACAATTCATGATCTGGTTCTCATTCCTGTGCTTTTACCATCAAAATTCGCCCTTATGTTCTTAAGGATGTATTATGTATTATATATTTTTAAGTATTTTGGACAAAAGTAGCATGAAACTTTTTCCAATACCTTTAATGAATTTCCAGTGTGAAGAAGCTTCTTTAAAATCAACCCTAAAAAGAAGAAGGAAAAAAAGGGTTTTTGGGGGGTTTTTTTGTTTGTTCTTTCTTTATTAAGATGTCAGAGTTCTCGGTCAGACTTGATAGTAACTTTTAAACAAGTCCTTGGCAATCTCCAGTTTAATCTTGGTGACCTTGATATCCTCAGGCAACTCTCTCAATGCCAGAAGGAAAAAAAAAGACCACCTTTCATAGCTTCCTCATAACCCACAACATCTTTCCCCGAGGACTTTTTGGGATGTGTACATTAAAAGTAAATTATTCTCAAGTCATTAATATACATAATATCAGCATTTCCCATTTACAAATACAGACTTCACCCCAATTTTGAAATTTATTACTAAAAGAGAAAAAAAAAATCAGGAAAAAAATAATTACAAAGCAACTTTGCACCTGCCCTTGTTCTTTCTCAACCACTGAATTTCCAGATTCCGAGCTTTACTTCTATCTAGAAGAATATTCATTACATTGGTGGGGTTTTTTGTGTGCTTGTTTTCTTTTCTTTT